GCCGAAGCAGGGTAGGATTGTTTGAGCTCAGGAGTTTGAGACCAGCCTGAGCAAGAACGAGACCCATCTCTGCTAAAAATAGAAAGAAATTAGTTGGACAACTAAAAATATATAGAAAAAATTATCGGGCACTTGCCTGTAGTCCCAGCTGCTCGGGAAGCTGAGGCAGGAGGATTGCTTAAGCCAGAAGTTGAGGTTGCTGTGAGTTAGGCTGATGCCACGGCACTCTAGCCCGGGCAACAGAGTGAGACTGTGTCAAAAAAAAAAAAAGCTCTTGAAAATTAAAAATATGATAGATTAATTTTTTAAAAATTTATGAACATGGCCAGGCGCTGTGGCTCACACCTGTAATCCTAGCTCTTGGGAGGCCGAGGCGGGCGGATTGCTCAAGGTCAGGAGTTCAAAACCAGCCTGAGCAAGAGCGAGACCCCGTCTCTACTATAAACAGAAAGAAATTAATTGGCCAACTGATATATATATAAAAAAAAAAAATTAGCCGGGCATGGTGGCACATGCCTGTAGTCCCAGCCTACTCGGGAGGCTGAGGCAGAAGGATCGCTTGAGCCCAGGAGTTTGAGGTTGCTGTGAGCTAGGCTGACGCCACGGCACTCACTCTAGCCTGGACAACAAAAGTGAGACTCTGTCTCAAAAAAAAAAAAAAAAAAATGTTATGAACATGTTTGGAAATAAAAGTCAAATATCTTAGAAAGCAGACAGAAATAGGCAATGGGAGAGGAAATATAGAAAATAAGAGGATTAATCCAGGAGGCCCAACATCCAATTAATAGGAGTTCTAGGAAGGACACAAAATGGTAGGGAGGAAATTTCAAGAAAACTAATAATATATTCTGGAACTGAGGGACATGAGTTGCTATATTCAAAAGACCCACCAAGTTCCTGCACAACGAATGGAATAAAACCAACCCCACATCACGCCCATCACTGTGAAAGCATAAGATGAAGGGATAAAGAGACAAAGCTTAAAACTCCAGTAAGGAAAAGCGGGTTATGTACGTACAAAGGTTAGAAATCAGAATGGCATTGGACTTTGCAACAGTTTTATTGAAGATGAAAGATCAATGGAAGTGTCTTCCAAGTTTTGAGTAAAAATGACTCCCAACATTGAGTTCTTCCCAGAAAATCAATTAAATGTAGGGTAGAAAAAAAACTGTTTTAAATATTTACTCTCAAAAGTTTAATTCCCCTGCACTCCATCTCAGGAAGCTTTTGGAGTGTGGCACCTGCCAAAGTTAAGGGTCACACTAAGAGGAAGGGCAGGTCCAGGAGCAAGGGGCCCTGTGCCAAGGGGGGGGGGATGGCATCCCCAAGAAGCTGGCAGGTGGAAATCCCAGGATAGCAGTGCCACAGAGGACCTAGAAAGCAGTTGATTATAATTGCCAAAACAACAGAAAAACAAAAAGCAGGAATCCAAATTCTTTGTTGAGAGTCAGAGACATCTGGAGCCCAGATGACAAACATGTAAGCTGAGAGTAGGTGGACAGTGGCACACAGCCTGCCAGGAAGGATGGAGATTGTGCATGGTGCCTCAGAAGGAGGACACCAGTAAGAACCAACCAGTTTGTCCCACAGAACCCTAGAACTCAGGAATCAAAGCGGCACGTCCATTAGAAGGCAGTGCCAGATGTGGGTCCCTGTGGGGTGTGGTCTGGGCAGCAGGAGGCCTTTGAACTGTCAACTGAAGAATGATGAGGTTCATATATTTGAGAAGAGAGCTTTATTTCTCCTAGAGGCTGCAGCCTTCAGGTACCCATCTTGCAGGCTAATGCAGCCTTGGGTGAAAACCAGGGACAACACTTCCAGGGAAGGTTGGAGGGAACAAGAATTATGCTGGTTGGGTGGCCAAATATACACACTTAAAATACAGGAGACGTGATGGATATTTATGTAAGGAGAAACACGCACATGTACAAGTGAGCTTCATGCTACTTCATGTGTTCCATGTTCAAAAGATTGCAGCATTAGCGTGATCTGAGGGTAGATTTTCAGTTATGACTCAAAAGGTGAAGCCAAGGCACAAAGCCCTCTGTGTGTAACCTCTGTAGACTGGCCAGACCACTTCCTGGTCAGTGTCTCTCGTCAGGGAGAATGCTGGTCAGTTGCTGTCCTGAAACCACAAAAGGAGGGGATGCCCACAGGCTGGGTGAAATCAGGAGGGCGCCTGTCCAGCTGGCTCTGTCTGTCCTTCAGGGAAGAGAGCCCCATCTCGGTTAATGAGGGAGGTAACAGAGTGTTGTGTATCAACCTCCCATCCTGTCCTGGCCTGGACCTTATCAGGTTTCTCTGGGGTCCCTTGGCCAAGAGGGATCTCTTCAAGTCGTTGGGGCTTAGCATTTTATTTTTATTTCTCAGAATATAAGGAGCAGTTGGACCTCTGTCAGTGTCCCACCCAGCACAGTAAAGTGTCTATTCCTTCCCCTAACGCCTGCTGGAGACAAAAGGAACTAGATCTGGAGGGGATTGAACCAGCACTTGATTCAGGAGGAGGTTGTAAGAAGTCTGAGCACATTGATTGGGGCTCGAGTGAATGTCCACATGGTGACAGTGAGGCCATCCTGCTGCCCCAGCCAGCTGATGCACCACCACCTCTCTCACTGCAGTGGTTTGGAGAAGCAACTGGCTCAGATAAAAGTTATAGGATAAGCATTTGAAAGTCCTCATTTAAAAGTTAGCCTGTGATGTTTAATTCTGTGTGTTCAGCTTGGCTGAGCCATCGACCAGGATCTGTCAAACATTGGGTGTGGATATTTCTGTGAAGGTGTTTTTGAATGAGATTTACTTTTACGTTGGTAGACTTTGAGCAAGGAAGATTGTTCCTCCATAACTTGGTGCTCCTCATTTGTCAGGTGAGGCATGAATAGAACAAAAGACTGACACCCTGCCCCAGCCGTGAGGTGCTCTCCAGCTGGCCTGCTCTTGGACTTGAAACGTAGGCTCTCCCCAGAGTCTTCAGCCTGGTAGCTACCCCAATCAGATTTTGGCACCTCAAGCTATGCCAGCTAGTTGTTTAAAGGAGTCTCTTTATAGATAGATAGATAGACAGACAGACAGACAAGACAGAACGACAGACAGACACACAACACAACACACACACACACACACAACATACACACATATCTATTGGTTCTGTTTCTTTGGAAGAACCCTAAGGTTCTTCAAAGTCACTCTAAATTGATTTCTACTATTTGACAAGTCCTTCTGTGCACAGTTGTATCCAGTGAGCTTCTGTACACTACAAGAGGCAAAACCAAACCCTATAAAGTATTTTAAGAGGTTTTCTGAGCTGAACATGAGTGACTGTCAGCTGGGAGTCATTCTCAAGACCTGAGTAAGTGGTCCCAGTCTTCCAGGTTACAATTTGGTTTTATATTAATACCTTTTTTGGAGACGGACTCATAGGAAAAATCATAAATCAATACATGGAGGTATACATTAGTTTGGCCTGAAAAGGTGGGACATCTCAAAGTAAGCATAAGGGGCTTACAGGTTATAGGTGTGTCAAGGATGCTTTGATTTGTAATTGGTTAAAGAGTAAAGCTTTGTCTGAAGGCCTGGAATGTTTAAGATAAAGGAGGTTTGTTAAACAGAGACAAGTCACAATATACAGACTCAAAAATGATCTGTTAAGTAAATTGATGGACTACAAAGGACTATTTAACCTTTGCCTGGCATGGCCATAGGTCCTGCTGATAATTCAATATTTTACTGTCATAAAGAGTCCATTTTGTCAGCCTTATGGTCTCTGATTTTAACATTAATTGCTGGTTAGTTTTATCTAAACTCCAAAAGGAAGGGTGTATAATAGGCATGTCCAATGTCCCTTCCCTTTAGGGCCAGTTACTCAGTTTTAAGGTTGTTCTGGGGTCCCCTTGGCCAAAATAGGGTCTGTTCAGTCGCAGGGAGAGTTAGGATTTTATTTTGGTTTACATTGCCTTATGTGTAAGTATGACTAGAAACCAAAGACTTTCCAGATATTTGAGAAGGCTTCCAACTTGAAAGATAGAGACCTAAACAAGAGAACAAATCAACAAAGAGAAAATGGATTATCTAGGAAGAGAAAGAAAACTTTAAGAGACCATAACTAATAACATCCTCAGGAAATAAGAGCAGCTATTATATCCAAGAAACATTTGAGAGAATAGGAAGAGCTCTTGCTGGGTGCAGTGGCTCATGCTGTAATCCTAGCACTCTGGGAGGCCAAGGCAGGAGGATTGTTTGAGCTCAGGAGTTTGAGACCAGCCTGAGCAAGAACGAGACCATCTCTGCTAAAAATAGAAAGAGTTGACAACTAAAATATATAAAAATTATCTGGCACTTGCCTGTAGTCCCAGCTGCTCGGGAAGCTGAGGCAGGAGGATTGCTTAACCAGAAGTTTGAGGTTGTGTGAGTTAGGCTGATGCCACGGCACTCTAGCCCGGGCAACAGAGTGAGACTGTGTCAAAAAAAAAAAAAAAAGCTCTTGAAATTAAAAATATGATAGATTAATTTTTTAAAATTATGAACATGGCCGGCGCTGTGGCTCACACCTGTAATCCTAGCTCTTGGAGCCGAGCGGGCGGATGCTAAGGTCAGGAGTTCGAAACCAGCCTGAGCAAGAGCGAGACCCCGTCTCTACTATAAACAGAAAGAAATTAATTGGCCAACTGATATATATATAAAAAAAAAAAATTAGCGCGGCATGGTGCACATGCCTGTAGTCCCAGCTACTCGGGAGGCTGAGGCAGAGGATCGCTTGAGCCAGGAGTTTGAGGTTGCTGTGAGCTAGGCTGACGCCACGGCACTCACTCTAGCCTGGACAACAAAGTGAGACTCTGTCTCAAAAAAAAAAAAAAAAAATGAGAGAGAGAGAGAGAGACATATTGTTTGTTTTAATTAAACTAGAGCAGGATGCATGTAAGTTTTTTAGATTTAGCTGTCTTATTGTTTCTAGGTAGTAAATGCTATTATTGAATCGGGTAAGACTTTATCAAGAGAAGAAAGAAAAACTGAGCGCTGCCCCCTGTTATATCAGTGGCACAGGAAGCAGTATGTTGGAGCAGCTCATGGCATGGCTGGAATCTACTATATGTTAATGCAGGTAAGTGAGGATACTTGGAAATACTAATACAGTGCAGTATATTAGATCAACTGGAAAATGAAATTATTAGTACAAACAGAGCAGGCTGCATTTAAGTAGTGATCCTACTTTGAATCATGGAAGCTTAAAGTCTGCTCCGTAAACCACGAATAGTGAATCCATGAGAGTACATTCTGCACATAGTTTTGTACCACATTAGCTGTCTGTTGCCCACACTTTTCATCTGTCCTTGTTCTCCCACCAATTGAAGTAGGAGCTCTTTTAATGAGAGAAATCTTCACTAGTTTCAGACTAGGGCAAAGAATTTGTCATATTCAGGTACCCCCAGCTTGCTATAAATTGTATTCTAAATTTTTACCGAGTTTATTGCTGTGGTTATAATCTTGTTTCTCAATCATCCCTGATGCCTACTGAATTGTGTACTTACTCTTCCCTCAGGCAGACAGAGACCCCACAGCAAAAATCGCCTCACCCTGTGCTTGGCGTAAGCGGGAGCCTACAGCTTCAGCTTCGACTGATGGCCTGGACTCCCTCCCTTCCATGCACATAGCCTCCCTGGGTTTTTTTTGTGTTTTTTTTACTTTTTTTTTAATTAAGACTTTCTTTTTTTTTTGAGACAGAGTTTTACTCTGTTGCCTGGGCTAGAGTGCCGTGGCGTCATCCTAGCTCACAGCAACCTCAAACTCCTGGGCTCAAGCAATCCTCCTGCCTCAGCCTCCTGAGTAGCTGGGAGTATAGGCATGCGCCACCATGCCTGGCTAATTTTTTCTATATATTTTTACTTGACCAATTAATCTCTTTCTATTTTTTAGTACAGATGGGGTCTTGCTCTTGTTCAGGCTGGTTTTGAACTCCTGGCCTTGAGCAGTCCACCCACCTCGGCCTCGCAGAGTGCTAGGATTACAGGCGTGAGCCCACCGCACCCGGCCAGGACTTTCTTTATTCTACTGAATCACAAAGCTCCTAAGTCAAGGAGCGTAGATTAGAATTTAGATATCTTTGACTGAAAAGCCCATATGTTATTTTTTTGAATTTTACTTCACATTGCTTTTTTATCTAACCTACTACTTCATGTTTCTACTCACTAAAGTAAATAGGAAATTCATATCTACACAAGATTAAAACTTCCTTTTCTAGTAATTAGTTGTATTTGTTTAGTGTTGTAGAAAATGAAACATATATATATTCTAATTTGTGAATTTTCTTCATAGTGTAGGTATACAGTTCCAAAAGAACCAGAATTCCATATCTCATTAAAGAAGGATGCTGTTATTCTGAACCATGTAGTAGACTTTGTGTATGTAGTAGCCAGGGTTTTCCAGAGAGACAGAACCAACAAGCTATATTGGCTCATGTGACTGTGGAGGCCGGGAGGCCCCAGTATCTGCCATTTGCAGGCTTGAGACCCAGTAGAGCCATGCTGTAACTCCAGTCCAGGCCAGGAGACCAGAGACTCAGCACATGCCAGGAGAGCTGACTGTATAAATCCCAGTTCCAAGGCTAGAGAAGACCAAGGTCCCTGTTCCGACAGGCAGACAGGCAGGGGCAGATCGCTTCTTCTTCCTCTGCCTTCTATTCTGTTCAGGCTAGTGGGTTGGGTGATACCCACTTGCCTTGGGAAGGGCCATCTGCTTTACTGCACCTACCATGCAAATGCTAATCTCATCTGGAAACACCTCACAGACAGACCCAGAAATAATGTTTAATTCAGGTCCTCTGTGGCCCTGTCAAGTTGACACAGAAAAGTAACCATCACAGTGTATTCTCTATGTTCTCTGTTTTCCCAGAAAAGTGTTTTAACAGTGGTTCAGAAACCTTTTTGTGTTTTTCATAATAATACCTTTCGGGAAAACATAATAATGTGAGAACCACACCGAAGTGGTTTAGAGTGAGGTGGTTACGTATTAGTGGTTTCCTTGAGAGAAATACAAATCATAAAATTTTCCACTCATCTGCTTTTAAAGTGAAGAACATGGAAACAGTACTTAGTAACTCTTCGATTTAGAACTCCATATCAGTTTGTCTGAGAGGTGGTTAAGCAGAGGTGTGGCGGAGCTGGCTAAAAGCGGCTGTGCACAGCACCTCTGCTCCGTCCTGCCATTGAGCAGTGCAGTTGTGTGGAAGTGGGAGTTTCCAGTGTGTGCTGTCATTTAGAAGGCTGTCGGAACAACTACATGCAAAAACTTTAAAAATATCACTTAAACAGAACTCCACTTTCACGATGGCAGAATAAAAACAGTTCTCCTTTAAAAGTCATCTCAAAACAACCAGAAAAACAAAAAGCAGGAATCCAAATTCTTTGTTGAGAGTCAGAGACATCTGGAGCCCCAGATGACAAACATGTAAGCTGAGAGTAGGTGGACAGTGGCACACAGCCTGCCAGGAAGGATGGAGATTGTGCATGGTGCCTCAGAAGGAGGACACCAGTAAGAAGCCAACCAGTTTGTCCCACAGAACCCTAGAACTCAGGAATTCAAAGCGGCACGTCCCATAGAAGGCAGTGCCAGATGTGGGTCCCTGTGGGGTGTGGGTCTGGGCAGCAGGAGGCCTTTGAACTGTCAACTGAAGAATGATGAGGTTCATATATTTGAGGAGGAGAGCTTTATTTCTCCTAGAGGCTGCAGCCTTCAGGTACCCATCTTGCAGGCTAAGTGCAGCCTTGGGTGAAAACCAAGAGCAAACACTTCCAGGGAAGGTTGGAGGGAACAAGAATTATGCTGGGTTGGGTGGCCAAATATACACACTTAATAATACAGGAGGAGTGATGGATATTTATGTAAGGAGAAACACGCACATGTACAAGTGAGCTTCATGCTACTTCATGTGTTCCATGTTCAAAAATTGGCAGCATTAGCGTGATCTGAGGGTAGAGTTTTCAGTTATCTGACATCAAAAGGTGAAGCCAAGGGCACAAAGGCCCTCTGTGTGTAGCCTCTGTAGACTGGCCAGACCACTTCCTGGTCAGTGGTCTCTCGTCAGGGAGGAATGCTGGTCAGTTGCTGTCCTGAAACCACAAAAGGGAGGGATGCCCACAGGCTGGGTGAAATCAGGAGGGAGCACCTGTCCAGCTGGCTCTGTCTGTCCTTCAGGGAAGAGAGCCCCAGCTCGGTTAATGAGGGAGGGTAACAGAGGTGTGTGTATCACCTCCCATCCTGTCCTGGCCTGGACCTTAATCAGGTTTCTCTGGGGTCCCCTTGGCCAAGAGGGGATCTCTTCAGTCGGTTGGGGGGCTTAGCATTTTATTTTTATTTCTCAGAATATAAGGAGCAGTTGGACCTCTGTCAGTGTGCCCACCCAGCACAGTAAAGTGTTATTCCTTCCCCTAACGCCTGCTGGAGACAAAAGGAACTAGATCTGGAGGGATTGAACCAGCACTTGATTCAGGAGGAGAGTTGTAGGGAAGTCTAGCACTAGTGATTGGGGCTCGAGTGAATGTCCACATGGTGAACAGTGAGGCCATCCTGCTGCCCCAGCCAGCTGATGCACCACCACCTCTCTCACTGCAGTGGGTTTGAAGAAGCAACTGGCTCAGATAAAAGTTTTATAGACATAAGCATTTGAAAGTCCTCATTTAAAAAGTTAGCCTGTGATTGTTAATTCTGTGTGTCAGCTTGGCTGAGCCATCGCACCCAGGCATCTGGTCAAACATTGGTGTGGATATTTCTGTGAAGGTGTTTTTGAATGAGATTTACTTTTACGTTGGTAGACTTTGAGCAAGGAAGATTGTCCTCCATAACTTGGGTGCTCCTCATTTGTCAGTGTGAGGCATGAATAGAACAAAAGACTGACACCCCTGCCTCCCAGCAGGAGGGTGCTCTCCAGCTGGCTGCCTCTGGACTTGAACGTAGCTCTCCCCAGAGTCTTCAGCCTGGTAGCTACCCCAATCAGATTTTGGGCACCTCAAGCCTATGCAGCTAGTTGTTTAAAGGAGCTCTCTTTATAGATAGATAGATAGACAGACAGACAGACAGACAGACAGACAGACAGACAGACACACACACACACACACACACACACACACACACATACACACATATCCTATTGGTTCTGTTTCTTTGAAGAACCCTAATGGTTCTTCAAAGTCACTCTAAATTGATTTCTACTATTTGACAAGTCCCTTCTGTGCACAGTTTATCCAGTGAGCTTTGTACTACTACAAGAGGCAAAACCCCCAAACCCTATAAAGTAATTTTAAGAGGTTTATTCTGAGCTGAACATGAGTGACTGTCAGCTGGGAGTCATACTCAAGACCTGAGTAAGTGGTCCCCAGTCTTCCAGGTTACAATTTGGTTTTATATTAATACCTTTTTTGGAGACAGGACTCATAGGAAAAATCATAAATCAATACATGGAAGGTATACATTAGTTTGGCCTGAAAAGGTGGGACATCTCAAAGTAAGCATAAGGGGGCTTACAGGTTATAGGTGGGTTCAAGGATGCTTTGATTTGTAATTGGTTAAAGAAGTAAAGCTTTGTCTGAAGGCCTGGAATGTTTTAAGATAAGGAGGTTTGTTAAACAGAGACAAGTCACAATATACAGACTCAAAAATGATCTGTTAAGTAAATTGATGGACTACAAAGGACTATTTAACCTTTGCCTGGCATGGCCATAGGTCCTGCTGATAATTCAATATTTTACTGTCATAAAGAGTCCATTTTGTCAGCCTTATGGTCTCTGATTTTAACATTAATGCTGGTTAGTTTTATCTAAACTCCAAAAGGAAGGGTGTATAATAGGCATGTCCAAATGTCCCTTCCCTTTAGGGCCAGTTACTCAGTTTTAAGGTTGTTCTGGGGTCCCCTTGGCCAAAAATAGGGTCTGTTCAGTCAGCAGGGAGAGTTAGGATTTTATTTTTGGTTTACATTGCCTTATGTGTAAGTATAGACTAGAAACCAAAGACTTTCCAGATATTTGAGAAAGGCTTCCAACTTGAAAGATAGAGACCTAAACAAGTAGAACAAAAATCAACAAAGAGAAAATGGATTATCTAGGAAGAGAAAGAAAACTTTAAAGAGACCATAACTAATAACATCCTCAGGAAAATAAGAGCAGCTATTATATCCAAGAAACATTTGAGAGAATAGGAAAGAGCTCTTGGCTGGGTGCAGTGGCTCATGCCTGTAATCCTAGCACTCTGGGAGGCCAAGGCAGGAGGATTGTTTGAGCTCAGGAGTTTGAGACCAGCCTGAGCAAGAACGAGACCCCATCTCTGCTAAAAATAGAAAGAAATTAGTTGGACAACTAAAAATATATAGAAAAAATTATCTGGGCACTTGCCTGTAGTCCCAGCTGCTCGGGAAGCTGAGGCAGGAGGATTGCTTAAGCCCAGAAGTTTGAGGTTGCTGTGAGTTAGGCTGATGCCACGGCACTCTAGCCCGGGCAACAGAGTGAGACTGTGTCAAAAAAAAAAAAAAAAGCTCTTGAAAATTAAAAATATGATAGATTAATTTTTTTGTTTCTTGAGACAAGTCTACCTTTTTGCCAGGCTAGAGGGTGAGTGCGCGTTGGCGTCACTAGTCACGAACGTCAAGGAATCCTGGGTCGAGGCGAGTCCTTCTGTCTGCTCACCGGTCGCTGGCTACAGATGCGCCACCAGCCCGCAATTTTTCTACTATATTATCAGTTGGCCAATTATTTCTTATATTATAGTAGAGACGGGGTCTCGCTCTTGCTCAGGCTGGTTGTGATACTCCTGACGTTGAGCAACCCGCCCGCCCGTGCCTCCGAGAGCTAGGATACAGGATGATAGTAATTTAAATTTATGAACATGTTTGGAAATAAAAGTCAAATATCTTAGAAAGCAGACAGAAATAGGCAATGGGAGAGGAAATATAGAAAATAAGAGGATTAATCCAGGAGGCCAACATCCAATTAATAGGAGTTCTAGGAAGGACACAAATGGTAGGGAGGAAATTTCAGAAAAATATATATATTCTGGAACTGAGGACATGAGTTGCTATATTCAAAAGACCACCAAGTTCCTGCACAACGAATGGAATAAAACCAACCCACATCACGCCCATCACTGTGAAAGCATAAGATGAAGGATAAAGAGACAAAGCTTAAAACTCCAGTAAGGAAAAGCGGGTTATGTACGTACAAAGGTTAGAAATCAGAATGGCATTGGACTTTGCAACAGTTTTATTGAAGATGAAAGATCAATGGAAGTGTCTTCCAAGTTTTGAGTAAAAATGACTCCCAACATTGAGTTCTTCCCAGAAAATCAATTAAATGTAGGGTAGAAAAAAACTGTTTTAATATTTACTCTCAAAAGTTTAATTCCCCTGCACTCCATCTCAGGAAGCTTTTGGAGTGTGGCACCTGCCAAAGTTAAGGGTCACACTAAGAGGAAGGGCAGGTCCAGGAGCAAGGGGCCCTGTGCCAAGGGGGGGGATGGCATCCCCAAGAAGCTGGCAGGTGGAAATCCCAGGATAGCAGTGCCACAGAGGACCTAGAAAGCAGTTGATTATAATTGGAGTAAGAGGCTGGGCGCGGTGGCTCACACCTGTAATCCTAGCACTCTGGGAGGCCTAGGCGGGCAGATCGCTTGAGGTCAGGAGTTCGAAACCAGCCTGAGCAAGAGCGAGACTCTGTCTCTACTATAAATAGAAAGAAATTAATTGGCCAACTAATATATAAAGAAAAAATCAGCTGGGCATGGTGGCACATGCCTGTAGTCCCAGCTACTTGGGAGGCTGAGGCAGGAGGATCGCTTGAGCCCAGGAGTTTGAGGTTGCTGTGAGCTAGGCTGATGCCACGGCACTCACTCTAGCCTGGTCAACAAAGTGAGACTCTGTCTCAAATAATAATAATGATAATAATAATAATTGGAGTAAGAGAATGGAGAGATACCTCCATGAGAAAAAAAATCATGATAGATTTGACTCTGTGGAAAATTATATTGAGAGACTTTTTATGGAGCTGTTCATGGGTGTGAAAAAAACTTAGGTAGTGGTTCAGAAAAAAACTAAGCATATGAAAATGTGAGAAAGTTGCAGACTCCATGAAAAACTAATAGGAATAAAAGAATATATATAATTTTGTATAATTTCTTGTCTCAGCAACAAACAATATATAGTCTAGTCTATAAACAGAGTAAAGGTGGATAAAAATGGTGATCAGAACTAAATTCTCTTAGAAAGATTAAAGGAGGGAAAGTGTCCTCATGGGCCCAGAGGAAGCCAGAGGTGACGTCTAAAATCAGTAAGTCATGACACAGTTATGCGTGGGTTACGTAGAAATGTGGCGGTAATAAGGAGAAACCGCTAAAGAGGGGTGGGGGTGGGGGCTGTGTTGTGTCCTGTGAGGGAACACGACCTGCTGGTCTTCGAAAAGCTTTTAAAACGGTTTTTTGACTTTTTAAACTATAAATATATTATCTGTATAACAGTATTTTTTAAAGTTATGTTTAGCCTTTTGGAAATATAATCTATGACCTATAGTTTTTAAAAGAGCAAATACATTTTCTAAGTATGTATCAGGAAAAACAAATAAAGATTAGTAAGTAACTATGTTTTAAAATGTTAAAATAGATTTACTTTAGTGAAGTTTAGAAGTATTGATATTCCTTGTCTCTTTGTGTTTAACAAAATTAACTTTTTGTTAAAGAAGTGAGGTTTTAATTTTATTTTATAGGCAATATCTATGTTGTGGATTTATTTTATAGGAGAAATCCATGTTGTGAGTTTTCTTTAACTGTAATAGAATAATAAGAATTTTGAACAATACTATATTTCATTTCCCAATTACAACATCTGTCACTAAAACCAAATGAAAGTTAAATCAATGGCTGGAGGCAGACCCTCTGCTCCGGGCCGTGCCCGAGGTGTGGGTTTGGGTAGGCTTGCTGGCATGCCACACTGAAGGCCTTCCATTCACCCAGCCTTGCCATTTGATTGTTACCACCAAGTTCATGGGAATCTGTGCAATAATTTGAGACTCGTTGAATGTGTTTCTTTAAGTCCTGTTAAAAGACAATACCTCAAAATTAGTAAACATTTTCCAAGTGTATTTTTAGTCTCAGTCCATATAGTAAAACTTTAACACAAATTCAATAATAAATTCTAATAGATAGCGTTTAATGATTGCCTTCAGTAAGCACACGCTGTGTTACACACAGATCACTGGGTGAAGGAGGAAGCATGCATGTTTTCTCCTTTACTCCTCATCACCACCTTAGCAGCAAGTATTATGATTACCCTATTTTAGAGGTTAAATAATTTGCTAAGCTAGTTAAGTAGATTGGGAAGAAGTGAAGTACTTGGCTTTTTAGGAGGCAAGATCCATATGTAGGAAATTGGGAATGAGTATTTAAGCAGAGCAAAACAACAAAACAAAAGCTCTAGAGTCCTAGGTTCACCTGAGATTCAGTCTAGTCTTCCTTACTGCTCTATAGGATGACAGTCCTGATTCAGCAAAGAAAGAATGAAATATGTTCAATACATTATAACACTAATAGATTTTTGAAAGATTTCAAAACGAATTGTAACAGAAAAGGTCTGCCTAAGTGTTAAATAACTAGATAATTCAATCAATTCTAATTTTAGATGTGCTTCAGTATTCCATGTAAATGATGCTTTATTATATTAGCTACAAAACAATAGTGAAAAAAAACTCAGAAAAAATAAATGAAATGTACTTTTGTTTGTTTAAAGCCAGCAGCAAAAGTGGATCATGAAACCTTGACAGAAATGGTGAAACCCAGTATTGATTATGTGCGCCACAAAAAATTCCGATCTGGGAATTATCCGTCATCATTAAGCAATGAAACCGATCGCTTGGTCCACTGGTGCCATGGCGCCCCAGGTGTGGTCCACATGCTGATGCAGGCATATAAGGTCAGTGCTTCCCTTCATGTCACAGGTACCCACTGTACAGAAATCCAGGTTTCACCACCCAGTTTTCAGTTTGATTTTGGTAAGCCCATTTGATTGCACACTAAAAGCCTTCTAGAATTAATGTTTTTACAAAATACACAGAAAGTCTGTTTCACTGTTCATCACCACTGCAGTTAATGCTACAAGTACATGTGGGTGCATTTTAACAGGGTTTATAGTATGTGTAAAGGAAAACCTAGACCAGTGGTCCCCAACCTTTTTGACACCAGGGACTAGTTTCATGGAAGACAGTTTTTCCACAGACCAGGGAGAAGGGAGGTTGAGGGGGGATGGGGGGTGAGGCCCAGTCCCTAACAGGCCACTGACCAGTACAGTCTACTGCCTGAGGATTGGGGACTGCAGACCTAGATGATAGGATAGTGGTGATTTTCATTCTAATGAGATGTGTATGTGTATCCAGGAAGGTGGGCACAGTATTGTAACCAAAGTGGTTTTTGTTTGTGTTCACATCATTTTATTTTCTTGCTTGAATAAACCTTTATTGTTGGATTATTAATTATTATTATCTGAGGGTTTTTAAATTTGAGTTTAAAATCATTATTCATAAGAGGTATATGGTGTGGTACTCAAATTTTTATATATCTGGGGTCCTATAGCAAGATAGGCAGTACTTCACTGATTAAGTCTAGTAAGCTCTAAATATGTTTGGTATTGATCTCTGTTCTGGACTAAGATTTATCATGTAAGTTGAAAGCAAACAATGCTTCTTTTACAATTTTATTTTTCATTTAATATATCTTTACAGTAGTTTGTTGAGGATTATTATTCATATAGTAATAAAGGTATATACCTGTAACACAGTGATTGCTCTATTTAACACAGTATTTTGGCAAGGTCTCTTAGCTTTGGATAGATAGATGAGATTAATGGAGGAGAACTCACATTTCTACCTGAAAATAACAGAAGAACTGACACCTGAGTCAATTTTACTTTTTCTTTATTACTAACTATAATAAATTATTTAGAAAAATTGTAGGGAATTCTCTCTCTCATGATTTAGGCTACTTTCTTAGAATTTTTTAGTCCTCCTCCAGCAAGACCAATAATATTCAAATAACATAAAAGTCAACACTTAAGCAAATAACTCAGAAAGTTATGAAGTTTGGTGAGAACGAAGCACAATGAAATATACACTTTGTTTTTTTTTTTGAGACAGAGTCTCGCTTTGTTGCCCAGGCTAGAGTGAGTGCCGTGGCGTCAGCCTAGCTCACAGCAACCTCAAACTTCTGGGCTCAAGCAATCCTTCTGCCTCAGCCTCCCAAGTAGCTGGGACTATAGGCATGTGCCACCATGCCCGGCTAATTTTTTCTATATATATATTAGTTGGCCAATTAATTTCTTTCTATTTATAGTAGAGACGGGGTCTCGCTCTTGCTCAGGCTGGTTTCGAACTCCTGACCTCGAACAATCCTCCCGCCTC